TACGGACGCGGAACTTAATCCCAAGCATGATGTTTTGATCACCAAACCAGAACATGCTTTTCAGTGACTGTGATCTTGATTTGAAAACCAAACAAATATGACGGACAAGACTGATAAAATCATTTTTTAACAAGATGGTTTGATGTTGTGTCATGACAGTTGATGTTTAAATTTCGTACGGTTTGGATTTATAATGTTTACCTCCTATTACAGCAAATTAAGGTCATTCACTCAAGGTTTTGAGTGCATGTATGTAGGTAGGTATATATATATTTCACTGTGTCTTGATAAAGGAGCGGATCGCTCCGAAAACTTGACAACCTAAACTTGTCCACACTGTTGGAATTACTTCTTTGCCCCATATATATACCTACCTACATGTACATACTTATATAAATATATTATCAATTTATCAAAACACTAAGATTTTATAAACTTTTTACATGAATGTATGTATCATCCAAAACGATCAATAAATTATTCACAAATGCATGTTATTATAATTTGTAATAAAATCCAATTTTAAAAGTTTTAGCAAACTATGAACATATCATCTTGAAATGCTTTTGGGGGATTCTGAATGTTTGAACGAGAGAATTTATCTGAATTTCGGCTATAAAATGCTGGAGGATGGGAGGATGCTTTCAAACGCAGGTATACATATATAGAGGGGACTATTGGTTTTATATAATATCTATATTTTCAATTAGAGTATATCAGTTCTATCTTCTTGTAATATGATGTATATATCAGTTCTATCTTCTTGTAATATGATGTATATACTTCTTTGCCCAATATATATAGTAGGAGATATAGGAAACACACCTATAAAATGTATAATATCATTTGGCCTTAAACTAATTACAAGACAAATCTCACTAAAAAAATATCTTAACTGCTTACATTATATTGTGCTGTGCAACTTGCAAGGAGACGTTTCCTTGACTCCAACAATAAAACATCTTTGTATTTGTTCAAAACTCAGAGAGCATAATAAGCCATCCCCATATAAATCTTATCAAAGCATTAAAAAAAAAATGAACCCTACCTGTTCACAATGAACATATACATTGACCTTGTCCTGAACAGATTTATTGCCAGAGTTTCTTGGTATAAGCACTTAAGTTAAGGTCTGGAGTTACTGGAAACATGCATCGACACATGTTTTTGTAACCCTATAATATATCGTACTGGTACTACTAGCTACAGGACAGGTGTTGATTCATAAGGGGGTAGACAGTACTGAGCATGTTGGGGCAAGAAGGGGNATGTCAGGGTTCTTTATTGTTATGGGGGAAGGATGGGACAGGTGTTAGAGTTCGGTATTAAAAAATACTTGTTTCTGGTAATTACCAACATTAACCGATTTTTAAATTAGCATGCTTTTGTATTAATGACCCTTTGAACAAACAAATATGTCTGTATGACAATATCATTATAAACTTAGGATTCATAGTGTCTTTCTTTTTAAATTGTTTTTGGCATTAAGTAGAGATATATACATGGACTGAAGTATATCTGCAGGTACCGAAGTGTTAAAGAGTACTCTGATCCATAGAAAGAGGAGAATCTCTTAAGGAAACAAGGATTCCCTTCCCTTCGGTTTTGCACTTGCTCGGGGGGGGGGGGGGGGGGGGGNATTCTAGAGGAAAGCTAAGGACCTCCAGAGGAAACCTGAAAGATTCCCTCAGCCCACTCCAAAAGGAAACCATAAGGATTCCCTCAGCCTGGGCCTATTGTTATATATGTTTACCTACTGGGGAGGTCATGTTACTGTAATATCTATATGCATGCAGAGACATCTCTAGAGGAAACCTGAAGGGTTCCCTCAGTCTGGGCCTTTTGTTCTGTTTACCTGCTGGGGGGGTTCAGGTTACTGTAATACCTATATACATGCAGAGACATCTCTAGAGGAAACCTGAAGGGTTCCTTCAGTCTGGGCCTTTTGTTCTGTGTACCTGCTGGGGGGGGGGGTTCAGGTTACTGTAATACCTAGAAACCTGAAGGGTTCCCTCAGCCTGGGCCTATTGTTATGTTTACCTGCTGGGGGGGTCAGGTTACTGTAATACCTATATACATGCAGAGACATCTCTAGAGGAAACCTGAAGGGTTCCCTCAGCCTGGGCCTTTTGTTGGAGTGGTTATACTGTACTACATAGACACTATCCGATATCTTCATCTGCTAGCTAATTAATGCTACCCTTTATACTGGCTGTTTTCCATCAAACAAAAGCTGTTAGCAAGGTTGCTCATCAGATCCCGACCACAGCAGATCTGCCAGTCAGGAGAAACTTCAGCTGCATCCAGTTATCATGTGAACAGGGTCGGCTTGGAAAGGTCAATGTCTTACTGTGTGTTTTAGGGAGGCTTATGATGCATCACACACCAGAAAGGTACATGTGTACACACACAAATGCCACATCTAGCGCATTCCTCAGAAGTTATATCAGGATTGCAAGCCAAGGGAATTCATTGGGGCTGTGTATTGTACCTGAAGTGTTGGTACCATATCTATACAATACAATACCTTGGTTTGAATACTTTCAAAATATTTGTGAATCATGTTCAGGAATGCAATAATTATTGCAACTATAAACTGACACTTTGATTAGACTCGTGATAAAAAAGATAACGAATCATGACCTGCTGGAGAAAAGTTGTGTTATAAATACAATTAATTTTGGTAAAGGAAAGCTGCCTTGAGATGATTTGATAAAACAAGTCCGTGGGAATGTGGACTGCTAGCTATAACAGCCTAGCTATAGACTGTAAATCTGCTATTTCAGTACACAAATAGGCATTTAAAACTGATGCAACACTACACTACAGAAGATGTATACACGTACATCTTGCTTCAGCTTTATATCGCTGTAAGCTAGAGCCTGGTGCTGTGGTGGGATTTTATATATGACAACCTGACAGGGGAAATCCTGGAATTCGAGAGCAGTGGGTCATTTTCATCAATTTTTAGTCAATATCCAAATTAAGAGGGGCCATTCTATGTAAAATTAAAAGAAAATTGGCCCCCTCCAGGATTATCTTTGACCTCATAACATAGAGCCATTAAAAAGGGCTGATGACCATGAAAAAAGACATTTTTGTGTTTTCATGCTTAATTTTAGGAGGGACTCAATTTTTCATGGTCATCTTTTAACTTATGAAATCAGCAGACTTTTTGCTTTTACTCATATCAAGCTACTAGGACATACCTGAGTACTGCACTATTATTTTGTGAAATAGCTGTAGGTGTCAGTAATTTCACACATTTTCCGAGTTTAACGCAGTAAACTATTCCTTCGGAAAACTGAAAAGTTATCAAATCAATGTGTTTTAATACAAAAAATGAGATGCTACTATGGTAAAATGATCTCTGATTTTGTAACATTGACAAAGTTGAGATGATCCATGCATAGGAATTAGGTTATTTCCAATTGGTAGATCAGTTACCTCTCCTTGATATAGCCTAGTCTTGCAATCCTGTCACCACTAATTATAACCTAGTTGTTTCACTATCCATACAGTGTTATTGGGCTTTTTCTTTAAATTTGTTTTATTCCAGGAATCTCACTATCTTGGTTCTTTCATGGGGAACAAAGATGGCTGGATTATCATGGTCTAACTGTAAACTAAACAATAAATGTACCAATGAGTTCTATAATTGACTTTGACCTTGAAAAGTAATTATCAAATGCTTTTCTTTTAAGTACCGATACAGTTGAATCACGCTAATTAGGTTCAGTTAACAGACGTTGTTGTGACCATAATGACCTTTACAGTACTGCCCTTGATCATTAAAAAGGTGATTGACACCTGTGGACATTATATATATAAATTACCAGTACATCATTTATAAGTTGTCGGGCAGTGAGTGACATGTACAGTATATGATTGATGAAGTTCAATGACTTATCTTCAGTGGTTCGTTTCATATAGCTTACAAACAAAAACATTAAAGGATATCAGAGTATTATTCTACTGTATAAGTGTATATTAATATATGGGTCAAAAAAGTAATATAGACGGTAAAATCCCATATAACACTGGATCCTAATGGTATATATATATATTGTATAAATATATACTGTAACACATGTGCATTTACAGACAATCGACAGCATCCTGTCCACTAGTAAACTATACACTGAAGGAAGACTGTCATGGCATGATATACATTTTCTGTAATGAAAACTGTCCATATGATTGGAGAAATATCTATCAATTTGACAATTTTATTATCATATGGGAAAGTTCGGTCTAATTAAGATTTATTAGGTATAATATTTCAGAGCAGGGAAAATTGGATCAATGTATATACGTGTTTCAAAACAGTTCTATTTCCTGGGCTGGGGAAGTTTTATTCTGTATGTATTTTGTTTCGCAGAACTGTAGAAAGGTTTTGTCTTGATCTTGAGGATATAAAGTGAACTGCAAGAATGGCAGAAATTTAGTCTAGATTGTCCAACTTGTCTTTTATATTTATACACAAGTGTCATTATGTAACACTGTAGACGCTTTTCTTATGTGCATTATATTAATCACACACCAAAATCACTTTCATACAAGGAAAATAATTCCAGACGAATCTTGTTACACAAATTCATTGATCCCAGCGCTAGCCTACCCTGTACTGTAGTCACCCCCACATCCCAGACAAAGTTCTTTCCATATTAATAATCTCAATCTGGAAATACTCTCTTGGTTGCCATAGAATCCATCTCTCGAATTTGAGGTTAGGTAGAATCATTATTGATCACAAATTACAAACACATGTTAGGCTGTGCAATCATTAATCCTTTTATCTAACTTCCATCTTTAGATGCTTTACCTCCTTCCTGGGTGCAGATGTTTAAAAGACCCGTTTGTATACCTGGTATAATATATTATATATATATATATGCATACATCACAAGGCTTGATAATGATTCACTCAAGATTAATCACATAATAACCATCCACGTGTCTTGTTGACATTGGAAATTAAGACATCAAAGCATACTTACAAATGAGATTATAGCTGCTAGCAACAGAATCTTCACTAATAGATCGTCGAACTGTTCTAGGATCAGTTCCCATAGTGGTTTACCTGGGGAAAACAATAAAGGTCCTCTGAATATATAATAATCACCGATATATCACTCCTGTGCACGAGAAGAGTGTGACATCACCAATCCACCGATAAAATTCCATTCTTTACTTACCCTCTTCTGTCGGTAGTTCTGCAAAGAAAAAAGGAAAAGTTTATTAATATATCCAGAAATGATGTATACGTTGGTATGTTGATGTTAGTAATGATCTATCGTAATTAAATATGATATTTGGATGTATTTCATTTTAATTTATCGACTGCTTTTATCTGCACTTATCAAATATGGCGATCCTTACACGCAGTCAACGTGATCGACACGCGAATGAGCTCGCATATTTTTTCCGATTAAAAGCGATTCGAGACTCAATAAATGAAATTTGTACTCACCATTCGGACCGTATTTCTCTGTATTTGTTTTAACTTGTTCCTCCGATAGACCGTCCGTTTCAACATTGAAGTATTCTAACACTTCCTCACACGATTTTGTATGTGCATATTCCATTGCACCGAATGTTTAAGTATAAATTTCACGAAAAATCACCCTCACTTCATGTAAAATTATCCTGTGAATGGACCCTTGACCCCAAATATATCCCAAAATGAAATATTGGTGAAAGAAACGAAAATTCAAGCCAGAAACATACAATTTCTAGCTTGATTTTCCTTGGTGTTCGGGTAAACCACTTCACCTCGACAAACGCTCCAAAGCAGATCACCGTGTAAGGTACAGTGGACGAATCGACTTTGTAGGGGAGTTCAGACAGGGCCGCTAAAAATAAACTGTGCTCATTATGTAAAACGTCAGTAGATTTGAGCAGGTTTACTGCATTTTTTTGTTCTTTTTACACAGAAACGATATACAAACGCCCTGACGATGGACGGTGTTGGTTACTTAAAATATTTCGGGCGATGGCCGGTAGAATGGAATAGGTTGGCCCAAATGCTTTATTCACGGATAAACTAAATGTGTAGTGTTTTGATTGGCTAGTATTCCTCGGTTGGATAATGTTACTCCCTGTACTTTGCCTACGTCATAGGGTAGCACCGTTATGTTACTATTTTAAGACCGGCACATGGCCTTATAACAAACTTTATAACGGTACACACAGCTAACAGCTGTGAACATGGGTATCACGGTGAAAGCACATGTTTTCGTCATTTACAGCCGATATCGACCTCTAGAAAACGCCTGGGTTGTCTAAATTGTTAGCAGAAATTCACAACAGGAGATAGTATTTATCAGAGATAAAAATAGCTCTTGTTTGTTCATCTAAGTACACGTGTACCGTCCAACACATAACGAAATCAGAATATTATATATATATATAATTACCAATAGACCATAAATATGTCATCATTTAAAATTGTTAACAGGGGATAGGATCTATTAATTTATGAGCTTGTTATTCGATCGTTTCTCGATAAATCACTGTCAATTTTTTTTCATGAGTGCGAGGGTACAAAATATTACGAAAAGATCACTTCGGGGGCCACGGGTTACGAATACATATTAAAGCGGGGTTTCTTTTATTTGTTTTAATTATAATGTTGGTCATTATATTGATTTGATTTAAACTTTATTAGTTCAAACATGTAAGTCCGCGGTTCAAACATATTTATTGTAAAGTTATTGAAAAGCCGGGGGTAAGGCGGAGGTTATCAAACTGTTGATGCATTGTTTATCCCGGCATGTTTCTATAATTATGTTATCAAACAATACTAACTCAGGCAAACTATTCACACACCTGAGATAAAGCTTTACATGTAATACACACATACAAGAGATAAAGCTTTACATGTAATACACGCATACAAGAGATAAAGCTATACATGTAATACACGCATACAAGAGATAGAGCTAGACATGTTATACACATATACAAGAGATAAAGCTATACATGTAATACACGCATACAAGAGATAAAGCTATACATGTAATACACACATTCAAGAGATAAAGATATACAAGTAATACACACATACAAGAGATAGAGCTATACATGTAATAAACACATACAAGAGATAAAGCTTTACATGTAATACACACATACAAGAGATAGAGCTATACATGTTATACACACATACAAGAGATAGAGCTATACATGTTATACACATATACAAGAGATAAAGCTATACATGTAATACACACCTACAAGAGATAAAGCTATACATGTAATACACACAGACAAGAGATAAAGCTATACATGTAATACACGCATACAAGAGATAGAGCTAGACATGTTATACACATATACAAGAGATAAAGCTATACATGTAATACACACAGACAAGAGATAAAGCTATACATGTAATACACACAGACAAGAGATAAAGCTATACATGTAATACACACAGACAAGAGATAAAGCTATACATGTAATACACACCTACAAGAGATAAAGCTATACATGTAATACACACCTACAAGAGATAAAGCTATACATGTAATACACACATACAAGAGATAGAGCTATACATGTAATACACACATACAAGAGATAGAGCCATACATGTAATACACGCATACAAGAGATAGAGCTATACATGTTATACACATATACAAGAGATAAAGCTATACATGTAATACACACATACAAGAGATAGAGCTATACATGTTATACACACATACACGTGTACACACACATTAACATTACACCAGAATCAAGTTATCAAGTTTTGTAAGCTTAATAGGTATATTAAACTGATTTTTTTTTTAAATTAAAAATATCATAAAAAAAAATCAGTATTTCTGTGTATATGATCCGCAGATAATACCTAAAAATTTAAATTTTATATTATTTTGTAATTAAAGATTATGGAACTTTATAAATAAAATACTGATTTTAGTTAGATCATTTTTTACCTGTGACTATTATTAGATACCCATACGATTAACCAACGATATGACTATAGGTTCCAACTCTGTGTTGAAGCCTGTGTTACACAAACATACATGTGATCAGAGACGTATGTAATATAAACGGTTATGGTGGGATCGAGATATACAGGACTTTTAATGCGAATTGTTTTAAAAAATAGATACAAAATCTCCTTTGGTATTCTTACTGATAATAATGTAATTATCATAATAATGCAGAAATTTGATGAAATCATGAAAGTGATCAGTGGCAATAATTCTAATAACCTGTCAGCTCTAAATATAAAATATGTATACGTGTACGTCCCCGGGTGGTGTCATGTGGAAGAAGATTATTCCATATGCTAATTCCTTACACCCCGAGTCGAGGAAAGATATGTCAGTGGGGTTGACGTACATTTAGGGTCAAAGGCCAAGATTGTAACTGTATCACGAAATTCTCTGTGAGTACTATTAAATGATAAAAGTTGTTTTTATGAATTCTGATAATTTTTTAATATTTTTTTTATATCAATGCTATCTTGACGGTAATTGAAGAAAACTTGTATATTTTTTAACGTACAACGAGTCTTTGCTCATCGTCTGATTAACGAGTCTAATTGTTTGATGTAGCTTAACGGCTAAAGGTATCTTGTATTAACATGTATTTGATAAAAGTTACCGCAGGAAGTTCATTTTTGTATTTCATTGGAGAAATATCTAACCTGTTTACATATATGCACTTCATTTTAACCTATTCGTCAATTAAAACAATTCTTACTGAAATCTTACAATTGTTGGTATTATAAAAGGTTGTCAAACGTTATTAACTCTTACGTCAACATTGTTGACATTGATTCCTGTAATGATGTCATTGTATTGTTGATATTGTTTCCGGTCATTACGTCATTCTTGTTGATATTGTTTCCGGTCATTACGTCATTCGTGTTGATATTGTTTCTGGTCATTACGTCATTCTTGTTGATATTGTTTCCGGTCATTACGTCATTCTTGTTGATATTGTTTCCGGTCATTACGTCATTCTTGTTGATATTGTTTCCGGTCATTACGTCATTCTTGTTGATATTGTTTCCGGTCATTACGTCATTCTTGTTGATATTGTTTCCGGTCATTACGTCATTCTTGTTGATATTGTTTCCGGTCATTACGTCATTCTTGTTGATATTGTTTCCGGTCATTACGTCATTCTTGTTGATATTGTTTCCGGTCATTACGTCATTCTTGTTGATATTGTTTCCGGTCATTACGTCA